GAGTCCCGGCAGGGGAGAGGGGAGGGCGATGGGGGGGCTCCCGGCAGGGGAGAGGGGAGGGCGATGGGGGGCGGGAGGCCCGGCAGGGGAGAGGGGAGGGCGAGTGGGGGGTCCCCAGGCTCTCACGTCTCCCCTGGCTCACAGAGGCCATGCGGACGAGCGTCTCGGAGGCAGCGCTGGACGACGACTCAGCTGTCAAATCCAGGGGTTCCCGCAAGAGCCAGACCTGCCAGGATCTATCATGCGGGGTGTCAGCCCCCCTGGCCCATGCACCTGCCCCCCCTCCCCAGGGCAGCCCCCCCAGCTTCTTCCTGAGTGGGGGGCAGCTGGAGGAGGAGGCCCCCGGGGACGAGGGGCTGCAGTATCCCGACGGCTTTGAGCCGCTGCGCTCGGACCAGCCCTCCGCCAGCATCACCCTGGAGGCATCGCCCGTGGTCAAGAACCCCTTCATGTCGCCCCTGCTGGCCCCGGACAGCATGCTGCGAGGACTGCCGCCGGTCCATATCGTGGTGAGAGCCTGGGCGGGCGGCCAGCCAGATTGTGCAGGGGAGCCTGGGGGGTCGGCTGGTCCGTATAGCAGTGAGAGCCCCACAGGGAGGGGGCACTGGTCCGTATAGCAGTGAGAGCCCCACAGGGAGGGGGCACTGGTCCACATAGCAGTGAGAGCCCCACAGGGAGGGGGCACTGGTCCATATAGGAGTGAGAACCCCACGGGGGGGAGCTCTGGTCCATATAGCAGTGAGAGCCCCACGGGGGGGTCGGCTGGTCCATATAGCAGTGAGAGCCCCATGGGCGGGTCGGCTGATCCATATAGCAGTGAGAGCCCCACAGGGAGGGGGCACTGGTCCGTATAGCAGTAAGCACCCCACAGGGAGGGGCCTGGGAAGTGTCATAGCCCCCATTGACGTTTGTCCCCCACTTCCCCTCCCCCCTCCCCCCCGGCAGGCCTGCGCCCTGGACCCCATGCTGGACGACTCGGTGATGTTCGCCCGGCGGCTGCGGGAGCTGGGCCGGCCGGTGACGCTGCGGATCGTGCAGGACTTGCCGCACGGCTTCCTGAGCCTGTCCCAGCTGTGCCGTGAGACCCGCCAGGCGGCCGCGCTCTGCACCCGCGTCATCCGTGAGATCCTGCTGCCCCCGG